GAGAGACCCAGGGCTTGCACGGGCGGCACGTCGTTTTCCTTTTCGGCTTTTCCGCGAGGAGATACCGCGCATCGGATTCGGCCGCTAGCTTCTCCCGGCAGCCGCCGATCGCCGCACATGTCCTTTCGCCAGTGTCGCAGGGCTCCTGGCGGTGGACACTGGATAGGGATGTCGTGACTCGATCGTGACAATCCCAGTCAGTCTGTTACGACCGATGGTGTTTGGAGATTGCAATTCCAGACCGGTGATCTAGATCCATCCATTTTACAGGCACGATGGGTGAAGGTAAAAGAAAACTGAAACGACCTCGATCGCTGTACGGGAGGGAAAAAACGGGGCAGCAGGTGATCTGCTGGTGGTAATAGCCGGTCAAGCCGTCAAGGGGTCAACGTACTGGTCAAACAAATCTGCCACAGGCCACGGCGACGGCGACGTACAAATAATTACAATGGACTGGACAGCGTTTCCTTGGTCCTTCGAAGCACATGCATCCTGTTGAGTTTTAGTAGCTGCCTACGAACGACTATTCCGGCACTAACTCATCAACAGATGATGAAGCAAGTGCAGGTTCTTTATTTGGCAAAACAACAATTTAAAAAAAAAAGCTTGTCAGAACCGCCTTATGTCCTATTGCTCTTGTCTGGCTGACCATGCATGGTTGCGTTGAGACAACAAGCTCGATCATAAACAATCAGGTCCTAAATCTGTGTCAGAAGACCTACCGGTTGGACGCTCGAACAGCTCGGCAAGCCCCAAAAAAACAAATTCAATACTAAAATCAGCTCCTTAGATAAGGTTAACAATCAGACAGTTGCGTCGCGCCTCGTGGAGCGACCACGGGACACACGGTTCGGTGTGTTGCTTTATTACCGTGTGTTGGTTCCCTCTCGATTTTACTGACTCGGAAATCCATTCCGTGACCGTGACTAGGGAGTAAAACCGACCGTTGCTGCCGTCGTAACGCCACTAATGGCCCCACCGAGCCTTTTGCGATCATCGCTAGCACTAGGTATAGTTTTCCAAATGGCACTAACACTGTGGGCCGGCACGGGCACGGCACTAAAAAGCACGGCCCAGGCCCGGCCCGCCCGCCTCGCCGTGCCGTGCACAGCGCGGCCCGGCAGCGATCAAGTGCGGGCTGCCACCTCGGCCCGCTAGCACGGCCCAGGCACGGCACGGCAAACAGGCCGGCACGGCCTTGGCACGGCTCCAGCAAAGGATATAAGCCCGCGCCCCCCGCCGCCCCGTATCGACGAAACCCTAGCTCATTTGTTTCCAGCTCCCTCTCTCTCCTGTCTCTCGCTCTAACCTCTGCGAGCGGCTCTCTCTCTCTTCGTCTCCCTCTCCGGTGGTGTCTCCTCTCTTCTTCTCGCCCTCGGTGGCATCTAGAGCCACTTCGCTGGCGGCACGGGCACACTGCCGCGGCCGTCTGATCTCGCTCCGTTGATGTAGCCTTGTCGTCCACCTCGTCGTTTCCCCACGCGCCACGCCGCCCGATCGACGAAACCCTAGCTCATTTGTTTCAGCTCCCTCTCTCTCTGTCTCTCGCTCTAACCTCTGTGAGCGGCTCTCTCTCTCTTCGTCTCCCTCCGGTGGTGTCTCCTCTCTTCTTCTCGCCCTCCGGTGGCATCCTTGTCGTCCACCTCGTCGTTTCATTCGTCACCGTGCCGACCTCATGGGGCCCCGGCAACTCAGTGCTCTCAGGATGTCGGTAAGTTGAGCTTTGCTCCCCTCCGAGATCTGGCTCTTCCTCTCTTATCCCTCCGGATCTCGATCCGATGTGCTCCCGCCCCTGTAGGTCCCCTCTTGATTCGCATCCGTCGAGGAACCAGAGGGCCGGATCCCGCGTCGTCGACGTCGCCGGCGTTCCCGGTGCTCCGGCCGCCAAGGTACTGTAAACCCTAACCCTAACCCTAACCCTAACCCTAACCCTAACTAGATCTGCTACTGATTCTTTGTTTATGTGTGAAGCCGTTGAGGAACCGGGCGCCGGCGAGTGACGATGGCCCGCTCCTCCGACGAGACCGTTGAGGTCGGCGCCAACGATGAGAGGCGGATGTGCGGGCTAGCCGGAGATGACGACGAGGATGACTCTTGCGAGGACGCTGCTGGAGGCTGACCGGCCGTCGCGTTGAGGATCCCCATGTATGGGATGATGGCGGCAAACAATGATGCAATAGGGGCGAAGAAGAAGAAGAAGGAGAGGATGACAACGACAACAAGCGCCACGTCCTTCTACCTCGGCTGTGTGGCTCGATTTTAAGAAGTTGTTCAAAAAAGGTCCCAAAGGTAAGAAGGTAAGGTATGCCGCTCGCTGCATCCACTGCAATAAGCGATGCTCTTGCTCTCTCTAGTGGTGGCACTTTGGTCACCTCACTCGTCATAGGGACAAATGTGTTAAGAGGAATGAGAAAACTCGCATGACTCGGTCTCGGATATCTTTTAATCTCGATGGTAGTATGCGTTCTTGGGAGTATCTTGTCCTATTGTTGCTCGTGACCGAGGCGGTTCGATTGCTTTGTAGACTTGATGTGCCTATATCTGTATGGGTGGCCTGATGCTTTTTATGATTACATTAGAAATGCTCATAATCCAAAGTTTGTTCCTGTCTCTAGACAAACCACCACCAGAGACATAGTCAAATACTTCACTGATAAAAAGACTAAGCTTGTTGAGACTCTTAGTTCATCTGCTATAAATTGTGTTTGTCTTACCTCGACATTTGGTGCGGTAATGCCAAAGAGGACTATCTTAGTGTGGTTGCTCATTACATAAATCACGATTGGCAACTAGAGAAGAGGGTGCTTGGTCTTGTGCTTATTGATGTGTCCCATAGTGGACAAAACATTGCTGAAAGGGTTATATCTGTGCTTGCTGATTATGGTTTGACTGAAAAGGTCTTTGCTGTTACTTTGGACAATGCCTCATCTAATGTTTACGCCATGCGTACACTTAGGCTGTACTATCTAAATATCTTGGTATTGAAGTACCCCGATAATGATAGAAATGATAGAAATGAAACCGATAATGCAAAGTTAGTACTTTGTTTATGCATCGGCGTTGTGCGTGTCATATCATAAATCTCATTGTTAAGGAGGCCCTTAATGCTCTTGACCTTTGATTGAAACATTTAGAACTGCAATATCATTTACGAACTCATCTAACCGGAGAATTTCTTTGCATACAAAAGTTCTTGTATTACACACCGGTGTTAGACCTAGGAAATTTCAAATTTGGACATGGAGGTAAGGTGGAATTCTACATATCGATGCTCAAGCATTTGTTTCCTCACCAGACTCCTTTCACTACTTTCATGCATGCTCACTATCCTAGGGGTGAAGGTGGTGATTGCTTTTAATCGATGAACATTGGGCTGTTGTACAAAAAGTATTTAAATTTCTTGAAGCTGTTTTATGATGCTCTTTGTTGCTTTTGTCGGTGTGTACTATCCTACATCTCCACTTATGATTCATTATCTAGTTAAGATTGCTATACACTAAAAAACTATGGTAATGACACTCACCTCGGACATGTGATTCAACCAATGATAGACAAATATAATAAATCTTTGGAGGAATATTCCTTTGATATATTCTTTTGCATTCATCTTAGATCCTAGAGCTAAAATGAAAGGTTTCAAGAGAGTAATCTTGAGGAGGTTGGGTAGCCTTACCAAGACATCCTATGAAACTTACCGACTTGCCACTAGAGCTCGACTAAGCGATGTTTACAATAAGTATGAGGAGAAATTTGGATCTGTTAGGTTGAGGAGGACTGTCCCTCCTAACTCGGCTCGGTAAGAAAAGGTCTCGCTTGGGATGAGATTTATGATGATGATGAAGGTGATTGTTCTGGGTGGTATCCATCCTCTATCTGGTACTCTTAATCTGTCTAGACATACCTCTTGAATCGCCCTCTTGCATCTTCGCAAGTTCTTCTAATAATACTTACGAGGCTGGTTTCCTACTTGGACTGTGACATAACATTAGCAGTTAGATGATGATTTTAACCTGTTGAACTGGTGGCATGAGCACAAACTCACTTATCCAGTTCTGTCAATCATGGCTAAAGATATTTTAACTGTTCCTGTTTCTACCATATCTTCCGAGTCCACTTTTAGTATGAGTGGCGGGATAATCGAGGAGAGGCGGCGAGGAGGTCAAGGTGAGATGGTGGAGATGCTCACCGCATCAAAGGCGGGAGGGCGGTGAGGCAAGGATGCAAAGACAATGTGGAAGACCGGGGAGCTTGAAGAAGCATTTGAAGAACTTTATCTTGATTAGTTGTCTTAGTTATCATTTATGTCTTTGGACTGTAATATCTTTGGACTTATGAACTTTGATTTAAGGACAATGAACTTAAAAGGAGCTAGGTTGTACTTTTTTTTCCCTGTCTAGGGTTTCTCACAAGGGTGAGTTTTACCTAGACAAGTTTTTAATGAGGCGACCATTGCACTAAAGCTCCAATAAAATTTTATTTTGTTCTCTCCAGTGCTTTTACGTGTTTGTTATCTTACGAAGTTTCAGGTTAAAGTTTGAACTTGTATCTCTGCTTTGTCAAAGTGTGATCTTCTAAAATTTGATGTATTGTACAAGTTTCGTTAAAATTCTGAAGTTTCGAGGTGTTTGACACTTTTTAGTGTTAGTGCAAGCACGAGCACTACGGGCTGCTGTGCCGATTAGCGCACGGCGGCACGCCTAAGCCATGATAGTGCCGTGCACAGGCCATCGAGTCGACGACGGGCGGCACTATCGAGCGCGGCACGGCTAACATGCCGCGTGCCGCGTAGTGTCGCGATACTGGCGGGCCGTGCTGTCCGTGCGTGCGATGCCGTTGCGTCTTGGCGGCCCGTTTGGCCATATATAGCACTAGGTGGTGCTCGTGGCGTCGTAGAACGCCACGTGGCCGTAGATTCGGCGGTGGTGATCCGAGACGGACCGCGACGCACGGACGCCGTTGACCGGGAGTGCGAGGTCGGCCCGCGGCGGCGGCATGTCGCCATGACGGCGGCGACCGCTTTCGGCGACCCGTCGCGCGCGATCCGCCACTCATTGCACTACCTCATCTTTGGTAAGTGTGTGAGTGTATGCGTGTCGTCTACTCGACCCCATATCCATACACGTGAAGCGATATCACGACGCGTCAATGCGTGCGGATACATACGACGTATACATACGTATGGGCGAGCGAGAGTGCAGCGATCTTCTTCTCTTCGCTTATAATCGCACGTGACGGTTTGCGTAGCTATTCGCTAACGAAGCGAGCCGCTACCGATTGTTTGCTTCTTCAATTTTCTTTGGTGGTGGGTTCTTTGTTTCAAGCCGCGTTAGTTTGATCCCGACATGCATGAACAGGTAGCTGAGACGTCCGGGCCGGACGGCCGCATCGTCGGCCTCGTCCGGGGAACCGTCAAGTCCGTCGCCTCCGGCAAGAGCCGCCCTGGCGCATCCGCCTTCGCCAAACACGGTCCTTAAAAAAGATGGCATAAAACGTAAAACGTAGTTGATCCTATTACATTTTATTTTACAGCTTATCCGTGGAATCATCCATATCTCCAGAAGTTCAGATTAAGAACCGGCAGTAAGATCTTGGGTGGGTTTGTCCAAGGGCTAGCTCCAGAATTCACAATGAAACAGCTGAACGTAAGACGTTCGTCACTCGTCAAAGAAAGCATCTAGCCTCGTAAAAAAAAAAAGCATCCAGAAATAGCCCCGTCACAGATGCAACGCCCGAAGCACTGGCATTAAAAAAAATCATTCCTTGGATCATCCATTGTCACAATGTGGTTGACCAGATTAGCCAGACAATTTTAACCGACTGGTTTTGTTACCATCGGGAGTACACACACCTTCAGAGACCATATCGGCGGGGTAGACATGTCGGCCGTCTGATGGCCGATATGACCTATCGGTCTTCTGAAGGCCGACAGGTACCCAAACCATCCTGTCGGCTTCTGGGCGCGCCTTCCCACAGGTAATAAAGCGTTGCTGTATCTTCTGCGTCAAGCATTTCTTCCTTTATTTTTTATCGACGATACGATCGCGAGCGACACTTGTCCACATTGTTGCATCATCGACTGATGATCAATGCGCGGCGTGTGCATGCAGGTGGATGGGCATCGCGCTGCAGCTAGTGCAGCAGCTGGAGCAGTGGTTCGAGCTCATGGGCGCCGAGTACGCGTACATGGTCACCGACAAGTCCAACGAGGCGTCGCTGCGCCTCTTCACCGGCTGCTGCGGCTACTCCAAGTTGCGGACGCCGTCTCTGCTGGTGCACCCGGTGCACTCGCACCGCCTCAAGGCGCCGCGCCGCGCCACGGTCGTCCGCCTCGGCGCCCGCGACGCGGAGCGGCTGTACCGCAGCCGGTTCGCGCACGTCGAGTTCTTCCCCGCGGACATCGGCGACGTCCTGGATAACACGCTCTCCCACGGCACGTTCCTCGCGATCGTCGGCGGCGGCTACGAGTGGGGCGGCGTGGACCGCTTCCTGGCGTCCCCGCCGGCGTCGTGGGCCGTGGCGAGCGTGTGGGACTGCGGCGGCGTGTTCCGTCTCGAGGTGCGCGGCGCGTCGTGCCTCCGCCGCGGCGCCGCGGCCGCCACCCGCGCGCTGGACCGCGTCGCCAAGTGGCTGCGCGTGCCGTCCGTTCCCGACTTCTTCCGCCCCTTCGCGGTGTGGTTCGTCTACGGCCTCGCCGGGAGCGGCCCGCGACGCCGCGCTGGCCGCGGAGGCTGTGTCAACATGGCGCGCGGCAGGGCGGCGGCCGTGGCGGTGGAGGTGGCGGCCATGGACCCGCTCCGCGGCCGCATCCCGCACTGGCGCCGCCTGTCGTGCACCGAGGACCTGTGGTGCATGAAGCGGCTCGGTGCTGCTGCTGCTGGTGGCAGCGGCGGCCACGCGGACGCCTGGGACTGGGCCAGGTCGGCCCCTGGCCGCTCTAGTGCTCTGGTTTTTTGCCACTCAGCTTCAGTTTTGGTCGTTCTTTTCTCTTACACTTGCAGATTTTGCGACCCTTCAGTTTTGTTCTGGTTTTGGTAGGCGAGATTTTGTGCGATACTACTGTCTCTTTGTAGAATCATCAGCAAGTACGGCGAGGGAATCTGTCATGTAGATACATTTTCTCTTGTCGTCGTCCGCCGTGTTCTCTGCATTATGTGTGCACCATGGGCAAGTGTGCGGTTGCAACTTGCACGGCGATCGATCCGGTGCAGCCACACGTACACGGAATAGTATCGCTGAGGCATCAACTGATGAATGCAACTGCAACCACCGTAGGATGCTGGAATATATGATGTTCCTGCCTCACGTCCGCGTCCGTGTCGCCTTGCCTTTCGCTCCGTTGCTACTGCAACTTGGTGATTGGCGACGAATCAATGCGTGATGTAATGGCTGATGGAAGTCGGCTATGCCAGGCTGATGGAGCTCGGGTAGTGACCTTTAGCGCGTGTTTAGTTGCTACCCAAAATCCAAAAAAGTGTTACAGTACCCATCACATCGAATCTTACGATACGTGTATGGAATATTAAATGTAGACGAAAAAAAAACTAATTGCACAGTTTGGTTGAAAATTGCGAGACGAACGTTTTGAGCCTAATTAGTCCATGATTGAACACTATTTGTCAAATAAAAACGAACGTGCTACAATAGCCCAAATTTCCAAATTCAGGCAACTAAACACGCTCTCAGCTCTTTCGACTGGCCTGCCAACGCTGCACTATTTTGTGCCCTGTGTCTCTGCAGGCAACAGGCGGCCGGCGGCGGCGCTCGGCTCCGCTGCTGCGCTGCATGTGCATGGTGTTCTGTAGTGCTTGCTGAACAGAACTTTACAGTGGTTGGAACTGTCGCCGCGTATCGGTTCCGTTTGTATTTTGTCCACTGGCTCATCCATGTCTATCTAGGAGTATCTCTGTAGAGTCACTGGGTTCGCTTCAGCGCGCTTCATTTGCTCATTTATCCTTTTGCGCATGTGACGGCGATGCAACAAAACTACTCCATGTAATCAGCCAATCAGGCAATGGGCTTGTTCGCTGGTTGGTTTCTGGGCTGGTTTGGACTGGCTGGTGCTGGTTCGCTGTGAGAGGAAAACACTGTTGGCTGGCTGATTTGGGCTGACTGAAACCAACAAGCGAACAGGCTAAATGTGTGTGTCTGGTTCCTGTCACAACGATCCGTCTGTCAAGTAGTGCCGTGCGTTGCACGCAATACCGGGGATTCAGTCGGCGCGAAACGATCATCGGTCACCAGTCACCACTCAAGGCGCGATGGCAGTCACGGAAACCAGCTGAAGAACTCGTCCAGGGCCATCACGGACGACGGACGACCAATCCTACTGTGCTGTACCAAACGTCTCGTCTCACGGCCGGTACGACGGCGGCCGGACAGTGAGACAAAGCGGCGATCCAAATGCACCAATGCTCGCCGCCGCTCTGCTGGCGGCTACGCGCGACACATGTGCTACCTAGTAGCCACTACAAATATAGAGGGTGTACATGTGATACGCACAGAGCTACTCGTCCTAGTCCTCCGTATAGCAGAGAATGGCACATGCATACGCGCGGTAAGGAGCGGCATGTGCCTCTCTGGAGCTCGCACACTTGCTATGGAAGAAAGCACTGACGACGCTCCTTGCAAGCTAGCTATCTGATCCGCCGGACGACGCGCGAGCCGGCCTCGTGGGCGATTTCTATCCGGTGCTTTTTTCGGTCTGTCCCTCTCCGAAACATAGACCGCATTAACCAGGGATCCATCAGTGGATAGACGACGATGCGTGTGTTTGGTTCTAGGCCACCACCTGCCACGCCACAGTTGTGGCAGCCATAGTTATTTTAGCTATTGTTTAGCTGGTGAGTAGTTCTTTATGGCGTTGATGCTGTGTACCACAGTTTGTAGTGTTGCCACACTTTGTTATGACACTTTATGGCCAGTGGCGGAGCCATAGGGGCATACCCTGTTTGACCGGCAAGTGTGCAATATAATACGGCTATGTTCGTTTATCTTATAATCCATCTTTTTCAGCTTATTTTTTTAGCTGGAACAATATTTTTCTCTTACAACAAATTAGGCAGAACAGTGTTTTGGCTTATTTTTTCAGCGAAGCGAACGGGGCCTATAGGTATTATACACATCTATATTTATAAAAAAATAAAAATTATTCACCTGATCACGCCATCACGGAAGCGCCAAGTTAGAAGCCCCAGGAAGCGGCCCACGCGGCAAGTACGTACACGCCTACAGGATACACGCGTTTCACTTTTGGCTTTTGGTATTCTAATCTCGATCCGTTCATCGGGGCTGAGGAGTCATGAACTCACTACGCCGCCGCCCTGACAGTTGACACCGACGCCGACGCTGACGCCGACGCCGACGCGGTGAGTCGCGACGGACGGTGACGCCCTGGTCCTGGTGGCCGGTGCCCTCTGGCCTCTGCCTTGCTGCCCTCCGTTCACTGATCACGCATCTACAGTTTGCAGTTTGCACGGCCGTGCAGTCACGGAGGCTCGTCGATTCACTATTTCTCTTAGGTAAAATTTAATCTCCTTCTCTTCGTCTTTTTTAGAAAATTATTGTCTAATTTCATAGCTATTTGCTAACATCACAAATAACAAATTGTTTAATATTTATGCAGTTATGAAGAGAAACTCGGATATTGCATCTCTTTTTCAAAAGCATCAAGCAAAAAAGGCGGCGGCAGCTGCTGCTGCTTCTAATCATTCCCCCGATCCAGATGAACATGTGGTGGAAGAGCAGACTCATGAGAGAATTGAGTAAATTACAAATCATATGCCATCGCCACCGCCACAACCGTCTTCACTGCCACCAGTTTATGACATCAATCGCCTTCCACATGATCTAGGTGAAAGACGTCCCATTCTAAAATATCCTGTTAATGATCAAGATGTAATTTGAAGAGCATATATTATTAAAGGTCCATTCAAACCTTTTGCACATGATTTTCCAAAAAGAAAGATTTCAGGCAAGGATCGGGGATTCAATTATTGTTGGATGTACAATCATGATTGGCTTGAGTATAGTATTAAGAAGGATGATGTGTTTTGCTTTATATGCTACTTGTTTAAGAAGAGTACTGGGTCAGACACATTTACTGTTGATGGTTGGAAGAATTGAAACATAGGAGAGAAAACACTTCTCAAACATGTTGGTTCTAAGGCACATATTGCAGCTCAAGAGAGATACATTGGCTTTAAAAATCCCAAGGTTGCAATTGATTATAATATTGAGAAGTGGAGTGATGAGGATCTTCGTCTTTATAAGAAAAGGTTGACTTATTCACTTAGGTGTATCAAGTTTCTTTTGCATCAAGGGTTGGCATTTCATGGACATGATGAAAGTGAAGAATCTAGCAATAGAGGGAACTTCATTGAACTTTTGAAGTTTCTTGCCGGAAATAGTGAAGAAGTGAAGAAGTATGTTTTGGACAATGCTCCAGGTTACTGTACCTTAACTAGCCCAGACATACAAAAGCAAATTATTCACTGTTGTGCCATAGAAACTAGAAATAAAATAATTGAAGAACTTGGTGATGAGCCCTATGCAATTTTAGCTGATGAGTCTAGTGATATATCACATAAAGAACAACTAGCTTTTTGCTTGCGTTATGTTCATAAATTGGGGAGGCCATGTGAGCATTTTATTGGAGTTGTTCATGTAGATGATACTACATCTTTATCACTTAAGGATGCAATTGAAACTTTACTTGTTAGTCATGGCTTGAGTATAACTCAAATCCGTGGGCAATGATATGATGGGGCTAGCAACATGAAAGGAGATATTAAAGGGTTGAAAACATTGATCATGCAAGAATCACCTTCTGCTTATTATATTCATTGTTTTGCTCATCAACTCCAATTGGTTCTTGTTGCTGTTGCCAAGGGAAATACTTATTGCAAAAGTTTTTTTTGATTAAATATCTATCTTGTTGAATATTGTTGGAGTTTCTTGTAAGTGTCATGACATGCTTAGAAATGCTAGGCTTGAGAATGTCAAGAAAGCACTTGACTATGGTGAAATTGAATCTGAAACCGGATTACATCAAGAGATGAGTTTGCCTAGGCCTGAAGATACTCGATGGGGATCTCATTACAAAACGGTATGCAACATCATTACCATGTATGAAGCAATCCATGATGTATTGGTTGATCTTGGGGATGATCCTTCATGTAAGGATGATTGGACCAAAATACATTTTGTGACTGGAGCATTTGAGACCTTTGAGTTTGTTTTCTTTACACACTTAATGTATATTATTCTTGGATATACAAATGAGTTATCTGAGTGTTTGCAAAGAAGGGACCAAGATATTCTTAATGCAATATCACTTGTTAATGCGGCAAAGACAATAATGCAAGAATTGAGGTCTAATGGTTGGAATAATTTTCTTGAGAGAGTCACTTCATTTTGCGATAAACATGGTGGATGGTGATTATGTTCCTTATGGAAAATCAGCAAGGAAAGCTCGTGCCCAAAAGCAAACTAATGATGACCACTTCAGAAGAGAAGTATATATTGGTGTCATTGATCAAATAAGTCAAGAACTTGATAATCGGTTTGACGAGATTAATATGGAGTTGTTGTCTTGTGTGTCGGCCTTCAGTCCTTCTAATTCATTTGCTTCTTTTGATGCACAGAAGCTATGTAGACTAGCTGAGTTCTATCCAAAGGAGTTCTTAAATAATAATTTGCTGAAACTTGAATTGTAGCTACATAATTATATTGATGACATGAGATAGGTTGATAGCTTCAAAGGTCTAGACAATATTGTTGATCTCTCAGTTAAGCTTGTTGAAACAAAGAGCCACAAAGTGTATGATATGGTTTATGAGCTCCTCAAATTGGTATTGCTTCTACCCGTGGCAACGGCAAGTGTTGAAAGGGTATTTTCTGCAATGGTTTTAGTAAAAACAAAGTTAAGAAATAAGATGGGAGATAGTCTTTTAGATGATTGTCTAGTCACTTTCATTGAGCGAGATATTTTCTTTGAAGTTGATGAAGATGATATAATCAAGACATTTACGTCCCTT